TTTTAGGAAGAATTACAGAAAAGTGCCTGCAACTACTATTGTACTATGATTGTACAAACTGAAGGTTGTTGAATTTAAAATGAACCTGAAAACCTGTTTCTTGTGGTAGTACTTACTGCGGAATCTTACATTTATGATAAAATGGGAGTCACTGGATTTTTGTGTGTTTCAGTATAGCTCTTTTTCAACTTAAAAATTCCATTTTTGATGCTCCTTAGGACAGCCTTAAAATATCATCCTGAAATGGAAATAATTGAAATGCCAATCCAAAATTAAATGAAGAGTACTTCTTAAACGCACAACACAGGAGCAGGCACCATGGCACAGTGGGTTAAGCTGCCACGTGAGATGCCTGCATTCACTCTGAGTGTCTGAGTCCTGGCTCCTCTGCTTCAGATCCAGCTTTCTGCTAATGAGCCTGGGAAGCCAGCAGATGATTGCCCAGGTCTTGGGTCTCTGACACTAAAATGGGAGACCTGGATGGAGTTCCTGGCTCTTGGCTTTGGCCTGTCCCAGCCCTGGCTGGTGTGGGCATTTGGGGAGTGAACCAGTGGATAGACACTCTCTCTCCCAGTTTTTGTCTCTTCCTCTCCCTCTTTCACTCTACCTTTCAAGTAAATAAATCACTTGAAAAAAGTGAGTGTGTAGCACATGTGTGTTAAGCTAAAACAAACAGAAAAACCCACTTTCCCTCTGCATTGGACTTGCTGTAAAAGTCATTCACTTGCGTCCTGACCGTCTACAGGATGTGGCATTACAATGATGGATTTTGGGGTAGTGATAACAATGGTGATAATAAGTACTGTCATTAAACTGAAAATTTCAACAAAATCCAAATTTCAGCTACAATTTGGGAGCAGGGGGTATTGAGGTTGAATTCCCAAGAGGGGTGGCAGGAGGCCTGAGGGGAAGGTGTTGCTACAGGAACAATGTCCTTGTAACTTATTGGAGACAGAACAAAGCCTTCTGATAATAAATGAAGAGATATTAGAGTAGGAATGAAGCTTTAACTTAACCATGAAATATTGAATATTATGCAATATTATGTCTGATGATATTTATATTTTGAGACTCCAAATATAAAAATTAGCTTTTGTGAATAAAATAAAAATCAAATATACAGCCTGTATTTTGGGGTTTTGAAGAGTATTAGATAACCTCAGAGGACTAAACAGTTAGATAACCTTGGGAAAGTCAGCCAATTTCTCCTGAGTCTGAAGACAAAAACAATTATAACTACTCTCTCTGTGTCATGATCTAGTGCATTTCAAACGAAACAACAAAATACTCACATGTCAAAGCCTGTGTGATTGTGTTCTGCTAATGCTGGGGATTATCTGATCTTAAAATAATCAGGCGAAGATTTTTGCTTGCACCAAGAGTGAAAAGCTACTTGTACATGTGAATGATTTCACTAAAATGCCAGCAAAAAAAAAACAAAAACAAAAACAAAACAAAAAAAAGGCAGTCGAGAGAATAATCATGTAGAGATGGGTTGCACATGCACACACATGGCATTGAACATACAGAAGGCTTCATGCAAGGGAACGGGCTTGAAAATGAATCGGGTCTCACACTGGACCAACTAAAGCATTAGCAGTGAATCTCAGGAGGAGGATATGGGAGTTTTAGGCAGAAAGTTTTAGGAAAACCCAGCAGAAACACCAAGCCTCCATTAGCTCCCAAACAGTTCCCCTGGGAGCACCTAACCACTTAGTGAAGCAAATGGTTTTTTCCCGTTTGTCCACCCACTGAAGCTCAGGTGCATCACAAATGGCTGTAGGATGTTGGACAGGTAACTCAACTTGACTTTTTTGGGGGTGTTAACTTTTATGTGTTTATTTTCATTTTACTTAAGAAGCAGAGAGGAGATGGGAGAGAAAGAGAAAGAGACAGGCAGACAGAGAGATTTTATCTACTAGTTTATTCCCCAAATGTCACAAAAAACAAGCCTGCAATAAGTTGAAGCCAGGAGTCAGGAGTCAGGAACTCAATCCGGGTCTCCCATGTGGGTGGTGGGGACCCAAGATTTGGACCATCACCACTACTTCCCAGGGTGCATATTAATAGGAAGGTGGGTCAGAATTGAAGTAGTGAGAACTTGAACGAGGCACTCGGGTACGGGATGTAGGCATCCCAAGTGGCTGTGCCAAATGTCTATCCTCAACTTGACTCTTGGTTTCCTCCTCTATATAACAGAAATAATGGTAAAACCTGTCCAGATTACCTCAAAGATGTGATCAAATGGGAAACTGAATATACAAGTCTTGTAAATTATAAATTTCTAAATGAGTCATGGTATCATTGCTTTGCCACTGATGTCCTTTAATAGCTTCTAGATAGTTATACAATCAGCAAGTCCCACAGTGCTTCTTCAGAACTCCAGAACGTAGCTATGGGTGGTGTTGCTCAGAAAAAAAATGCTTGTTTTCTTCTTCATTAGCTATTTTGAAATTCTAACCCTAACCCTAACCCTCATCTGACTAAAGCATGATGGTGAGGGAACACACCACAGCTTCTGCCCCTGCTGAAGGAAGTTTCTCTGTTGAGGAATGATAAAACAGAGTTGATTAGCGGCACCCATTCCAGAACTGCGAAAGCCAGAGGAGATCCAGAAAAGACCATGGGGATTGATTTTGGGTGTCAACTTGATTGAGGGATTCCCAGGTGGCTGATAACGTGGTATTTATTCTCAATTATTTCATTAGCTATTCTCAATGCTTCAGTAGGCATGGTGTCCATCTCCCTTCTGCTGAAAGGAAACCCAAGAGGTTTGGCCTTTGATTGGAGTGACCCCACTGCCCCAGGTGTGTCTGCAAAGCTGTTTCCACAGGAGATTGGTGTGTGAGTCAGTGGACCAAAAGATCAGGCCTCCATGTGGATGGGAGCCCAGACACAACAAAGGGCAGAGGAAAAATAAGTTTTGGTTCTCTTTTCTGGACCCTGAACACACTTCTCCTGCCCGTGGATGTCAGAAATCCAGATTCTCTGGCATTTGGACTCCAAGACTTGTACCAGAGGCCTCCTAAGTACTCAGTCTCAGCTTCTGACTGAGTTGCAGCATCAGCTTCCCTGCTTCTGAGGCCTTTGCCTGGCATGATCCACCCTGCAGGCACTGCGGTTCCCCAGTCTACACAGCCTGCCACTGCACATCTTAGCCAGTTTCCCACAACTTCCCAAATCAGCCTCTTTTTCTCTCTTGAGACCCATGCATGGCTTTTTCTTAATGTGCATCTTCTATGAACTTTTTGAAAGCCCCTCAATATGCATGAATTTCAATTTTTTTGCACAAATATAAACTTTTCTTTTAAATCTATATTCTATGAACTTTGTGAAGCATCCTTGTATATCCTATTCATTGTCTCTGGAGAACCCTAAAATACATAACATGAAAATATAGACTGCTTCATGTATATTCTAGATAAATAAATGGATGATAGAAACACATAGAATCATTACAGTGCTAATATGATTAGAACAATAACAGCTACCACTGATTGGGGGCTTCTTCTGTGCTTTTGACTATGTTCCCCATCCTCAGTCTTCATAACCACCTTTTAAGAGATGAACAAGAAGGTCAAGCTGCCCTTAAGCACACTGGCTCTGGTCCACTGTGTTGCTTCTGTGACCTTAGAGCACCTGGCTCCATGGGCCTCTGCCCCGGCCCGGGTCTCCTCTGCCTAAGCCCTGGGCCTTTGCCTCGGCCCTGGCCTCCTCTGCTACCGTGCACATCGCCTGTGCTTGGCATATGGACACTGACTGCTGACACTCCTTTCAGGGTTTAGGGTTCATTTCTGTTGCAAATACATATTGTTAAGAGCTGTTCTTCATTGAAGAAGACTTGCAGCTCTCCGACAGTTTCTGACATCATGAGCTGGGGCAGCTGGCAGGGCTGACTACATATGCATGTCCTGTGGTCAGGGCTAGCATGAGAGGAAGCCATTAGGCTGTGTTCAATGATGCCAGCACAGTGGAGGCAAGGATGCCCTGTGACCGTCAAGGTAGAATTTTCTCTCGACCCCGAACCAACAGGAAAAGGTCACCTTCCTTCCCGCCTCTGCCTGCACGGGGGCAGTGTTGATGGTTGGCCCAGTTTCTCTTCTCACCTCTACAACAGTAATATTTGTGTAGCCAGAACACATGCAAGAGTCTGCACATAGGATTTGCAATGTGTACCCCTTGTCTTTTATTTTTGCTGAAAAATATTCTTTTATACTTAAAGCTGTGACAAACTTCCTAGTACTTCAAAGTGAATTTAAGTCAGTTCTTGTTCTTTTTCAATTACCTAAAGTCAAGAGTTTTCACCACTGAAGCTCCCATAGTTCTGCAGAGCTTTCTGAAATGGTCTAGAAGCTTCCAGGCTTTTCACAGCCTCAGGGCTCCAGGATATACCTCGGGCAGGGGATTTGAGGAAGTCTCAGGGGAAGACGGGTGCTGCAGGTGGGACGTCACCCAGGTCAGCAGTCTGCCTTGGAGCGGCTCCCGTCAGCATGGTCCTGAGCTCGTCTAGCATCGCTTGTTTGCTTTCCCTCAGATGTTGCCTTTATTTTTATTCTTATTTTTAAATTTTTAAAAGGATTTATTTTTATTTTTTATTTAAGATTTTTTAATTTATTTACTTGAGAGGTAGAGTTACAGAGAGTGAGAGGGAGAGATAGAGAGAGAGGTCTTCTCCCCAAATGGCTGCAACGGCCTGAGCTGTGCCAATCCAAAGACAGAAGCCAGACCTTCTTCTGGGTCTCCCACACAGATGCAGGGGCCCAGGCATGTGGGCCATCCTCCACTGCTTTCCCAGGCCATAGCAGAGAGCTGGATCAGCAGAGGAGGAGCTGGGACTCAAACTGGTGCCCATATAGACCATCTTCTGCCAATTTCCCCATGCCATCAGCAGGGAGCTGCATTGGAAGTGGAGTGGCCAGGACACAAATCAGCGCCCATATGGGATGCTGGCGTCACAGGCAGCAGCTGCATGTGCTTTGCCACAACACTGGTTCTATCAATTGTTTTTAAAGATTTATTTATTCACTTGAAAGTCAGAGTTACACAGAGAGAAGGAGAGGCAGAGAGAGAGAGAGAGAGAGGTCTTCCATCCGCTGGTTCACTCCCCAGTTGGCCACAATGGCTGGAGCTGCACCAATCCAAAGCCAGGAGCCAGGATCTTCTTCCGGGTATCCGAGCTGGATTGGAAGTGGAGTAGCTGAGTCTCGAACCTGTGCCCATATGGGATGCTGACACTGCAGGCAGCAGCTTTACCTGCTACATCATAGCGCTGGCCCCTTTATTCCTATTTTTAAATCACATATTATCTTACTTAAAATTACCAACACAAACTGAACCATGTGAGCCTTGCCTGTAGTGTGAAAGTTTGCTGCTGCCTTGAAGCTTCTCTGTGCCTGAGAGGTTGGGACAATGGTGCCACCTGTGTTGCTCAGCTGACATGATGTGGGCCCTTCAGGAATTCTCTGAGTAGCCTCTTGTCATCAGAATCCAGCTCAGATTTGGGTTCTGATCTGCTCAATCAGTATATGCCCTTGGGGAGTTACGAAATCCTCTGGAACATTCTGGTTGGCATTTAATTTATTGTATGAACTTGTCCAGCACATGGTGGAGCAGACTTTGGAGCCTGGCAGATTTGGGTTCAAACTCTTGACTCTTCTACCTCAATGGTTCTTTGATCCAGGCAAGACACCACACCTACACCTCAGCTCCTGCAGGTGGTTCTGGGGCTACCCGGAAAACTGATGGGAAGCACTGCTACGGAAGACGCTGGCAAGTGCTGGCTTTCCCAGTGCTGGCTGTCACCTTTTGCCATTCCCACAGGGTGGGGGTGGGGGTAGGGGAGCAAGCCTCTTCTGGCTCCCGAGCCGGAGCCTTCCAGGCCTGAAGTTTGGCTCCTTCTGTTTCCTTCATGTCAGAGAAACTTCTTAATAGCTCTGCTTAACACCAACCACATGGTCTTCCCCACTAACATGCACTAAGCTGCCCTAATTTAGGGCAAGAGTAGTAACAGCAAACCAAGCTTAAAATTTGCATGTGCTCACCATGGTCTTGGCACGAGTTTACTCAAAAACAACTGAAGTGTCGTCAACATTGGGCCATCCAGACATTGGTGAAATAAGGCTCCCTCTCAGGCCTTCACTGAAGGCTTTCCTAGGATTCAGTGTTAGAACTGGAACATCCCAAACAGGGACAGCTGGTGAGTACTAAAGGCCCCTCCTGAAGGCAAGGCTTCTAGGGGTGAGAGCTGGGCGGCAGAGGGGTCTGCCTTCCAGGCCGGGGCACACCTGGCAGCTCTGTGAGCCCGGGCCTCGAGTTCCTCCTCTGCCATGAGAGGACTGAATTCTGTGATTTGTGACATCTGTCATCCCAGCTGAACAAGCCCTTTGGCCTCTCTACATGCTATTTGGCACTCCTTGGGAAATTTGGGGTCACTTCAGATGGACCCCCTTTCTGAGCTGTGGGTGCTCCAGTTTTGATTTGAGAACAGGTGCTCCTAACATCACCCTACCTCACCTGACCTGGGCCCACTGGGTGCCTCCTAGGGTGTGTCTGAGAGCAGCTCCCAGAGGTCTCGCAGTGAACCAGAATTCTCCTAAATCTGAAAAGTGGATTCTTTCCCACCTCCAAAGGAAGAGCAGGGACTTACCTACAGCCTCCTGATGAGGATGCAAGAAAAGTCCTGAGGTCTCATTTGTGGAGGGTCTCAGCGCTCTGCAGTGAAGGGCCTCCAGAGTGGAAAAAAAGTGCCATTTGCAATCCCCGGGTTCCCTTTTCCTGTTGTTTCTTTTCTGTATGGTTTGGACTTTGGGTTCAATTTATGGTTTAGACAGATTGGCCATCAAGTCTAGAACATGAGCCAAAAGGGTTCCAAGTCCAGGCTCACAGAGCCACCCACCACTTCCTTACTTAGCTGGCCTCTCCTTTCACCTGTGTCTACCACCATCAGTCAGTCCTCCATCTATCACCCACCTAGCCACTCCTCTCTGTCTCTCCCCACCCCGTCTCCTTACTTAGTATCTTCCTTTACCCTAGAATGGAAGCCCAATCATGGCAGGGAGCTTGGTGAACACCCAGGATCCAGTACGGTATTGGGCTCAATGTACAGAGTGAATTCTACCTGCTGTCATCAGTGACAGCCTTGACTGAAGTCACTCCTGCTAAGAAGCATAATGGTTTTGACCCCACAAGGCAGACAGCATGGGTTCGGGTTTACTCAGTTCTGTAACCTCCTGTTCTGACACTTGTAATGAAGAGCATTTCTTAACCTCAAACTGAGTACCCCACAGGGTGCACTGAAGTCAGGATGCAACTCTGCCCGTGACTCTCTGGTCCTGTGGCTCCGATTCTCACTTTCGAAGGAAATCGATATTCAATTTCAACCTACAGGTGAACAGTCACTAGTAGTTTAGTTCATATCCCCTTCAAGAGCATGCCAATCGTCAAGGCAAGAACATAAAGTCAACCAGGATTCCAGAACCTGAGGCACTGCAGCAGACGACGAAGGCGTTTTTGAGCAAGAGCACATTGTCTACATTTTTATGTTTTCTCCCCATCAACTGGTCCTGCAACATCTGAGACCAGTTAGGAGATCCTGGTTGAGAAGCTCAGCTTTCTTCTCATTCAATGTATCCAAGCTGAACACTTGAATGTTAGGTAAACCTATTTAATCCATCAATGGTCATGCAAAGTTTAAACAGTGAACCACTGTGTAACATCTCACTGCTCCTGTTCTATTGATTCTTCCAAAATGGTAAACAAAGGGGAGACCTCCAGTTTACCCAAAGAAGGAAAGTGCAGCAGCTGCTGACCCCTGCCATGGAAGCTGCACCACACGCTGTCTGGACTATTTCTGTACAATCGTGTTGTCAAGGAAATACAGAAGCAGGGGTTCATTCTCCTCTAGAAGCCTGTCTGTGGGTGCTCTGGATGTTCAGGCATTAAGCCACTGCAGCACTGACAGCGAGGCCAGCCTGGCTTGATCAGTGCAGCAAAAGACGAGGCTCCCTCCCCGCCTCACCACCACCCGGTCCACAACCGCACATGGGGTGCTGAGCAGACACAGGGAAAAACCTGAGGTACGCAGAGTTTGCCTGCAGTCAATGAGTTAATAGGAAAAACTACAAACATGTCTCATTTTGGTCTCTGTGCCTTTTCCAATAACAATATGAATGAAACATGAAAAAATACTTTTAAGCAAAAGACTGAGGAAACATTAGAGAATAACAAAGGGTTAAATATTGGAAACTACTACATTCCATCTCCAGCAGTTGGCTACTTCAGGCTGCTGGCCTTGGTCCAGACTTGGAAAACTGTTTCTGCTGATGATCTGACAAGGTCATATTTAGAAGCAAGGAGAAGACAAGGGATGGAAGTCAGTATACTTAGCAAACTCTTGCTTCACAATTTTTTCTCATTGTTTAAAGTCACAAATCAATATTCACAAATGATAAAAATATGTTTCTTTAACACAGAACATATTATATTACACTCCAGTTACAAGTAGTATGTAGAAAACACTGTTTAGAAACTGCCATTACAACTATCTGGGCCTGATGTTTTATGGCATCACCAACTACAGCAGTGAACTTTGAGCCTATGGAAGAAGGGCAAAGTTTAATAAAGCTTCCATTTTACTCCACTGCCAATGGTCAGCAGTTTAGAAACCATATATATACATAGAAATACGTGTACACACACATACACACAATTACACACACATGAAACAAGGACACTTTCCAGTACATGAATGCCTTTCAGCAAAGCTGGGCTAACCTGTATCCACACCTTAGTGAAGAAGACTACTGTCAAGTTATTTCCCTTCCTTTGTCAATCTTTCTTTCCATTGTGTTTAATCACATTATTTTATATGCTACTCTTTCATGAACAATACAAGTATTTTGCAGCACTAACTCTTGCTTACCCTTGTGGACCGAGCTGCAGAGTTTGTTTTGTCTCAGTCACTCAGAAAACCATGTAATTCAGACCCAGGGAAGAACTGTGACTGATAACCAGGCCCTGCGGATCTGCAGCCACAGTAAGAGTCGGGACAGAAGGAAAGGACGAGCAAGTCGCTGCTTCTGGGGTCTGGCGCCACTGTCCCGTTCTCCGTGTCCCATCTCGGACACTTACTCCCAGAACTCACTGCAACTGAACTCTCCTGTGCCACCACTGAAAACACAAATGCTTCTGGAAGATCTGCTGGGTTTAATATGGAAACTAAGGTGTTTTCATCTATTCTGGAAGAGCTGAGTCAGCACCATCCTGATCTTAGGCAGCAAGTCCTCCTGTTCAAAAAGTGGAAAGCATTTACATATAAAATAATGGGAGTCCTGAAAATATGGGAATAAAGATTTTTCAAAAAACTTCTCACATCTTTGACATCATCTTTTTAAGGTACATACAATACAGAGGACAGCAAATAGCAGCATTCTTATGCAGTAACTGAGGAAAACTTCTTAGAGCAGGGAATTTGCTGCCTTGATATGGACTGAAAGAGGTGCACGTGTCAGCCAGCAGGCCTTCCGAGAACATGTGTCTGAGACTGATCTGGGAACAAGTCATGACTACTGGATCTACAGAATGCAAACACTCCAAGACATGCAGAAAGATACCAAGGGGAAAATGACTTAAAATCATACCAGTAAAAGTTAAAACTATATGACATAAAGGAAAACTCTATGAAGACTAGCGACTGTGTAAAAATAAATACTTTTAACTCAGAATCTATTCTCACAGTGAAATAGCTACAAAAATAGAACATGAAACAAATACATGAATATATCAAAAGGGAACGGTTTTTAAAACAATTTAGCATTGAGAAATCCATATCCTCCATATTCTTGCAATAATTTTGTTCCTGAAGCAGCTCACTTTGACAAACCACAGCAGGCTTTGGAAGAGCTGACTCGGTGACAACTTCCTTTGGGTTGTCACTGACACAAACTCTTTCTCAGGAGTCTCTCGACCTGAAATCTACCCTGGGTGTCAGGTACAAGACCCTAACCAGGACACAGGGGCGCCCTTCGGACATTCTGTCCCAGAGGCCTCCTGCCAAGAGGGAGCGGTGCCAAACAGGGCTGCAGAGGCCTGAAGAGACCATGGTGCAGAGAGGAGCTTCTGTCCCCAGAGCCACACGCTCTGCACAAACCAAGGTCCCTCCGTTTTCTGGAAGTTGGAAACCAGAGGTCTGTGGCGCACATTCCAAAGGCACTGTCAAGGTAGAGTGGCTGCTACTGATCAGACAGAGCAAGTCCAGGATTCCTCTGGTACCATTCAGGAAACTGTTTTCTTCAGGAGTTCCTCAACTCTAGCTTACCGCTCAAAGTGTACTTCCGCAAGCCTGCAGCCCTGTGGCAAGTGCCATTAGCAGGATGAGATCCTAGCCCTCAGTGATTTTAATAGTGATTTAAGCTCATAAAATATGAGATACTTAGTTACAGAATTTGGGAACTAACTAGTCTACAGTGCAGCCGTCCTCTGGAGGTTGGGCCTGCATATGGTGTGTCTCAGTGTGTGTTTACTCTTTGTAGCAATGGTATTTAGGTGGAATATACCTTCTCGTGATTACAGAGACTGGACTTAAATGGTTTCAATCAGTCCTGGATGGCAAAAGGAGTAAATACCCTGGCATTCATGCTGGTTTTTATACTTTTAGACTTCGTTAAAAAAATAATAAAGTGAGATATTGTTAAAATGCATCACAGTATTTTGTCAAAAAGCCCTGAAAATATCTCTAAGAGCGTTCCCTTTTCCGGCTGCATGGGGAAGCATGGCAGGTCCCTCCAAAACAAAGTGCGCCTCGCTCCACGCTTCAGCTGTCAAAGACCAAAGCTTGGCTGGTTTTCAAGGTCTGTGCTCCCATCTTTGTGGTACTTCAAGCCTGTAATCACTTAATAGTGGTCAGTGGGAGGCTTCATTTCCAGGAAGACAGCAATCCTGTGGACACTGGACACACGGCCCATGACTTCAAGTTTTCTTCTGGGACAGTCTGCTTGCTGAAGAGCAAGAAGAAAACAGTGGATCAACCCAGCGTAAACAGAAGTTATGGAACCAAGCAGTATACCACAAAATCTGGCCCCTGGAATCTTGAGTACATTTTCTGCATTTTAAAACTGCTCCACTTTACATTTTAAATTTTAAAAGCAAGTCAGTAGCTTCATTAAAGTCAGATATCATCTGGTTTTCTCTAGCATGAAAAGGCCCATCTTCCTGCAGTCTTTCTAAAATTCTCCTTTGCTTCCAATAACTCACGGGGAAGTAAGCTTCTTTAGATGCTGGCAAGGCCAGTGCTACTACCACAGAGCTACTACCACAGGAAACAAGGCAGGCAATCTAAATACCTGAAGTCAAACATTCTACCCTCTTCTAGCACTGCTCTCTCCAAAAGGCCAGATGCTGGCCAGCAGATGGGAAAGGTGGTGTGGGGTCCCCTGCAACTTGTTTACTAAAATGTGCTCCCAGCTGGTAACTCAGGGTTCCCAGAACAGTCACAGAAGACAAGGGGAGAGTCTGGTGTCCCCAGTCCATTTGTGCTGGGCACCCACAGCATCTTTGCAGTTCAGTCCTACAAGCTTTCATTGGGCTTCTACAGGTACCCCCTTTTATTTATTATTTTTATTTGAGAAGTAGAGCTACAGACAGACAGAGGGAGAGACATAGAGAAAGGTCTTCCATCCACTGGCTCACTTCCCAAATGGCTGCAACAGCTGGGGCTGGGCCAATCCAAAGCCAGGAGCCAGGAACTTCTTCCAGGTCCCCGACGTGGGTGCAGGGGCCCAAGCACTTATGCCATTTTCCACTGCTTAAAGCACCTGGGCCATTTTCCACTGCTTTTCCCGCCCATAACAGACAGCTGGATCAAGTGGAGCAGCCAGGACATGAACCGGTGCCCAGAGGAGATGCTGATACCCAAAGTGGAGGCTCAGCCTACCATGCCAGAGTGCCAGCCTCTCCTGTTATTTTTTTTTAATCAAAGAACTGTGAAGATCAAAGAAATGTCAAATATCTGAATATTTTTGCCTCAAAATTTAAAAATGTTTATTTCTAATTATCATAAAGGACAAGTGACCATTCTTTTAGATCAGTATTAAAATTAACAACTTATATATTCTATGCAAATGACAGAAAACCAGGAAGACCTACATTTTGGCAGTCCTCAAATTGATGAATTTCATGAAGGACAGAAGTGGACTGAAAACCAGCAGACAGAAGAGCAGTTCTTGTGGATCATACTCTGAGAAACATAAACCCAAACCACCCATGGGTAACCAGTGCCTACTCTTGGGAGTCCAGGGGCTTGGGGTGAGTTCTGTGCCTCATTCTTCCATTCTGTCTTCTCAGGTTTGAGAAGCAAACATTTCTACTCCATGGGGTAAGAAACTCATGAACTTGCTGCTTCGTTCTGAATGGGATATTTTAATTATATTTATAAATCTCTATCAAGGGGACAAGAAGCTTCATATAACATATATTTGTGTTCTCTTTTACCTAGCCTACCTTTGTCCATCTTAAATTTTCTAAAATTTTGCTGAAATTCTAAAGTGGATCCTTAAGAGTTTCAACACAAATGTCCTGGTAAGCCAGAGACAAAGCAGAGCTTGAATCCTTGCTTCTGCATCTTAGAAGTTACCAAAGAGGTTGCAGAACAAGGGACTCCAGTGAGAAATGCTGGGGGCCCTCACTGCCAGGCCACTTGCAGGGAAGGGCTGGTGGCCTCGGGCCCTAAGCCCAGGAAACAGCAGTCTCTGGGGGTGATCAGTTGTGATGGGGGCTGTAGAAAGGAGCAGACCCAGCCCAGCAAGCTGGAGAACCCCCAGGAAGCTCACTTCCTCCTTACAAGCCCCTAGCAGTGGGCACTGGAAGCCTGCATTGCAGGTTCCAAGAGTGCACCTGCTGGGGTATGTTTTGGGTCCAAGAGAGCACGGTGGTAAAGCAAACCATGTGCTGGTGACTGCCAACCCCAAGCAGAAGCCAGGACAATGTGAAACAGCTCAGAGGCAGCTGACACTCTCCCCACTTGGGACCAGCAGGCAAAAGGTGAAGGCAAGAAACAGGACGAGGAACAGAAGCCAGCAGCCTCTGTTCTGCAGTGGCACCCTCCGACCCCAAACCTGCTCTCACGTTCCCTGTTCCCTTCTGTTTCAAAAGTTCTCACAGACTAACAAACTCCAGACATTTTTCATAGGTTTGAGCCTAAAATAGCATTGGAAAGGTTACATCACAGGTAGAACCCTAAACTCTTCCAGGTCACCACTCTGGCCCTGGAGTACTGTAGACTGGAGTGGGTCTGGAGTGGGGGGTGGGGTGGTGGTGCTGTTTTTCTTTTTACGTTGCCAGGTTTTATTTCACTTTGCAGTATTGCTACCTCACCACTAGTCACATCACCAATGTACATGCACTCTGACTACCTGGCGGGGACTTATGCACAAGTTTCCAGCTTCAACAGTCTGACAGACACAGAACGCAGATACACAGAATATAAAACACGAAATGTAGGAGTCAGAAACCATCTCCAATTTCTCTTCCTCTTACAACAAAGCCTGGCCGGCGCCGCGGCTCACTAGGCTAATCCTCCGCCTAGCGGCGCCGGCATACCGGGTTCTAGTCCCGGTCAGGGCGCCGGATTCTGTCCCGGTTGCCCCTCTTCCAGGCCAGCTCTCTGCTGTGGCCCGGGAGTGCAGTGGAGGATGGCCCAAGTGCTTGGGTCCTGCACCCCATGGGAGACCAGGATAAACACCTGGCTCCTGCCTTCGGATCAGCGCGGTGCGCCGGCCGCGGCGGCCATTGGAGGGTGAACCAATGGCAAAGGAAGACCTTTCTCTCTGTCTCTCTCCTCTCTCTCTCTCTCACTGTCCACTCTGCCTGTTAAAAAAAAAAAAAAAAAAAAGCCTGGCCTAAGGCCCAAGAGTCATTGGCTACTCAAGAGAGGCCCAGATTCTGGCTTGAGGCGCTCTCTACCAACCCCCATCCTCCAGGGACCATGCTGCTCTCCAGAGCTCTCCCCCCCACCACAGGGGCTCCATGAATATGCCTTTATCAGCAATCTCAGATCCAAGAGACAACCCATAAGAAATACAAATTAGAGCCGGCGCCGTGGCTCAATAGGCTAATCCTCCACCTTGCGGCGCCGGCACACCGGGTTCTAGTCCCGGTTGGGGCGCCGGATTCTGTCCCGGTTGCCCCTCTTCCAGGCCAGCTCTCTGCTATGGCCAGGGAGTGCAGTGGAGGATGGCCCAGGTGCTTGGGCCCTGCACCCCATGGGAGACCAGGAAAAACACCTGGCTCCTGGCTCCTGCCAGGATCAGCGCGGTGCGCCGGCTGCAGCGGCGGCCATTGGAGGGTGAACCAGCGGCAAAGGAAGACCTTTCTCTCTCTGTCTCTCTCTCTCACTGTCCACTCTGCCTGTCAAAAAAAAAAAAAAAAATTAAAAAAAAAAAAAGAAATACAAATTAATGTTGTTTCTCTAAAATTTTGACTACTTATTTATATTTTTTGGGGACTCAGGCTAGTGGAAAATGCAAATCTTTGATAAAGTATCAGGGAGAAATTGAGTCCCAAGCTTCCTGAGTTTAAGAAAAACAATGCATTCACCGCTCATTACCTTTCACTTCTGTGCCAAGGCCATGGCCACTCAGAGAAGTTACTGGGGCTTTTCCGTCCTCAGACACAGGTGAGAGTACACAACATCCCCTGTGGCAGTCTCACCACAGTCCCACAGCTGATGCTATGCCTGATTCCACAGTCCCACGGGCTGATACTATGCCTGATTCGCTTATCTCTGCAGGCTAAATAACTTCATGTCACCTGTTTTAAAACATTTGTAGCAAGCTGTCACTTAAGGGTAGGAGAAGATTACACGTTGTGATGTTTAAGTTTTGTTTCCACAGAGAACCCTGGCCAGGTGCTTCAGTGCCTCCTGAAGTGCTCCTCCCACAGGGAGGTTTGAGCCACAGAGGGTAAACTGGACAGAGGAGGAACAGGGCCAGGGCCACACAGCACAGCTCACAACAGCGGACAGGTATTTTATGAAGAACCAGGGAGAGGCCAAAGCCTGCAAATATAGAGAAAAAATCAGGAGGCAGATATGCCAGCTATCCTGGTTTGATCACTGAATTATGACACTGCACCCCATCAATATGTACAATTGTTGTGGTCAACTAAAAACAAACATTAAAGTAAAAAAAGCCACATCAAGCAAGAGCTTGAGTCGGTTCTGTGCGACTGGTTGTCCAGAGGAAAGAGGCTTCCTTTCTGTATTGTCATCAGAGAAACTACACAATCCTAGCTCTCCCAGTTAACAAACTGGAACTCTCAAGACAGCTTAAATAAAATGTGGAATGAAAATCTTCTCTTGTTAAACGAATTTCAAATGCTGGCAAGCAGGTGCAGACTCCATGGAGAGGCAGGCATCTCCCTTTGTGCTGCACAGGGGCTGCCGGCCTGGATCCGTGGGCGGATGCCACTCGCCGAGCAAACCACAGGGTGATCGTGGTCACAGGACCCTGGGATGCAGGAAACAGCAAAACGGGGATCATAGCTGCTTGCTGACAGCGCTTTGTAACTCCGATTTCTGCTATTTTCTCTTCTAAAAATTTTTTATTAATTTTTAAACTTTTAAAGATGAACATGTTTCATGTATTTCATGTAAGTTAAGAACACAGGGAAGCTTCCCACCCACCCCCGCATCCAGGCCAACCTTTCCGGGAAGGCACAGGCGCACACCAAAGGCTGAGGCGCAGGGCCAGGTCTGCAGCGGAACCCAGACGCACAGCGCTTCTGCTCCCACCGCCCTCCTACGACCCGGCCACCAGGCCAAGCCCTTTCCTACCTGGCACGCTCCCGGTGCAGGCGGTCACGCCGGCCCCTGCAGCCTCTGGCTGGGGGTCTCCCTGGCCTTGCGGCAGGTGTACAGCCACTTGATGATGCGCGCGTTCCTCTCGATGATCGACGTGGTGCTGGGCACCTGCTCCATGAGCTCCTCCTGCAGCCCGTCGTCGTCACCGCTGTGCCGCGAGAAGCCGCTGTCGGAGGTGGCGACGCTCACACTGCGCACTTTGAGGGCGACGCGGTCCGAGCCCGCGGAGAAGTTCTCCCTGCCGAGGGCCTCCACCACCTCGGCGTCCAGGCCGCAGTACCGGAAGAAGGCGTCGCACTCGGCCCTGGCCGGCGAGTAGAGGGAGCTGAGGTCCGACTGCGAGCGCTGCAGCCCCCGGCGCCGCGCCAGCCGCAGCTCCAGGCCCGGGGGCGCATCCGCGACCCGGGTGGGCACCGCCGAGGGCGCGCCGGGGGCCGGGGGCGCGGGAGCAGCCCCCGCGGCGGATTTGGGGGTAGCAATGGCCTCCCTGCCGGCAGCTTGGCCTTCCTCGCCCGCGCCCAGCGTGTCCGCTGGCGCCTGCACCCTGTCCTTGCCCGGCCCAGGGAAAAGCTTCTTCACCAGGCCGCCCCTGGAGCCGTCGGCGCCCGGCCCTCGCACGAACTCGCACTTCTGCCGGTAGATGACCAGCGAATCCGGCCGCAGCGGTTTCCGCGCGATCGCCCTGCGCACCACTGGGGCCTGGGCGCGGACCGGGGCCGCGGGGGCGCTGTCCTGCGCAGCTGCCGCGTCGGTGCCGCTGCCCTCGGGAGCCGGAGCTCCGCGCACGTACTTGGCACGGTCGGCCGCCAGCCTCTCCACCGCGCTCCTGCGCGCCGGCCGCGAGGCGCCGGGCTCCCGGGGCAGGAGCCGCTCGGCGCCGGGCTCGTCCGGGGCCGGCAAGGCGCGCATCCTCGCGGGGCTGCGGCGGCCGGGGTAGCAGAGACGCGCTCCGGCCTCGGCGCCCGTCAATCCCGGGCCGACTCCGAAGCCGAGGGGGACGAGGGCGGACGCCCGGGGACGCGGCGGCCAGGTGCCAGCGGGGCGAATTCGCGTCCGCACGGACGGTGAATCACCGGAGGCCCGCCTAGCCGGCTCCTCCCGCCCCTAACCTGCTGCCAGGTCCGCCCCGCCTCACCTCCGGCCCAATGCCCTGCCCCCTCCTCCTGCGGGTACCGCCCCGCACCACCTGCCAGGTGCCCCAGCCCCTAGCCTCTCACCTGGCGCCGCCAACCGCCTCACCACCTGCGACCAGGTTACGCCTCCTCAACTCCTGCGGGGTACCCCCCGACCTTGCTTCGAGTCCCCACTCCTCACCTTGCGCGAGGTCCCGCCCCCGTGCCCCCACCCTGGCGCCCCGTTCCCCTCCCCCGCTGCCGGCGGAGTCGGAGCGCGCTGGGCGGGGCAGCCGGGACGCGGCGCGGGGGCGGGCGGTTCCGGGCGTAGGAGCGGGAGCGGCAGTCCTTGAGGTGGCTGCGGGCGCCGCGGCTCCGGGGCGGGGTGGGCGGGCGCAGTGGGGCGGAGGTTTGTGGCCCTTTAGGTCTTAGTGTGGTCTCGGAGCGATGGCAAAATTTGTTCCTGGAGGCAAGGCCTGACCGCAAAGGGACGTGGTGTGAAAGGAGGCAAACCGCGGCGGAGTTCCGGCGGACAGAGACCCGGGACCAGCAGGATCTGGCCAGGGGCAGGGGCTGCAGACAGCCAGCCAGAGCCAGGGCCAGCGGGGAGCCAGGGGTCACCAGGCCCAGGATTGCTGAGTATTTGCAAAACGTGTTCCCTCCAAAGTTGGGCCACGGACTGAAGACACCGCCAGGCTTGAAGGCCTTGGGCATCCTTGGGCGGCCGGCAAGTGCTGCCCAGGCTGGCTGGGGTTGGTGTCCAGAAACACAAGCGGGCTTCAGACTCCAGCAAGGGGGAATCGCGTGGGCTGGGGGCCTCGTGGGGGCTCAGTCCAGTGAGCGACAGTCACACGGCCAGAAACTGCCCTTGTTCTTCCAGGAACTGGTGTGAGCCTGGGTCCCCAAGGCCACGTTCTCGTGCACGGGTGACTGATGCAGGGTTTCTGTTTTGTCACCTGTGAAATTTCTGCTTTATAGCCTAGAACATTCGTGACTTCGTTGTGAGCACTCAGAAACTGTTAACCTTGGCTGGGCCTCTGGGTGTACACAGAGCCAGAGCTGTTGCTCAAATGGTGAGGTTGCTTCGCTAAGGGGCCTTAGCATTGCTGCTGGTACAGGACAAATCTAAAGTAAATGTTATTTTTTAAAAAATATTTATTTATTTGAAAGTTACAGAGAGAGAGAGAAACATCTTCCTCTTCCTGGTTCACTCTCCAAATGGTCTCAAGTCCAGGGCTGAGCCAGGCTGGAGCTAGGAACCAGAAGCTTCATCCCGTCTTCCACTGGGTGCAGCTGCTGAGCTCTTGGGACATCCTCCGCTGCTTTCCCAGGCCCTAGCAGGGAGCTGGATCAGAAGTGGAGCAGCCAGGACAAGAACCAGTACTGGGATGCTGGTGTCACAGGTGGCAGCTTTACCTGCTGGCCCCAATTTTTCCTGTTTTGTTGAGGATGGTTATGAGTTAGCTTTTTATCACCTTTTGAATATGATTAGTCAATCTGCATATGAACGTTGAAATACTTAGAATAAAAGTAAAACTATAAAGCTGTCAGACAAAAGTAATTCTATGTGTATATTTCTTTTTTTAAGATGTATTTATTTATTTGAAAGAGTTACACAGAGAGACAAGGTGAGGCAGAGAAAGAGGTCCTCCATCTGCTGGTTCATGCCCCAATTGGCCGCAACAGCCGGAGCTGCACCAGTCCTAAGCCAAGCCAGGAGCCAGGAGCTTCCTCTGGGTCTTCCCATGCGGGTGCAGGAGCCCAAGGATTTGGGCCATCTTCTGCTTTCCCAGGCCAAGGCAGAGAACTGGATCGGACTTGGAGCAGCCGGGTCCCAAACTGGCTCCCATATGGGATGCCGACACTGCAGGTGGCGGCTTTACCTGCTACGTCACAACGCTGGCCCCTATGGGTATATATTTCTATCTCTTAAGGAACTTAATTTACTGGGAGGTGAAACTGACATAGAAAGGTGCTGACAGGAGAATTGTCCAGATTTTTCTAGTCAGCTTTGAGCCTGTTTGCTGTCTGACATCACTCTTTAGAAATGTTACAGCTCTGCTGGGTTCTGTGTCTTGGGTCCATGAAGATTAGGCACAGGAAGAAGGAAGTGTGAGCCGCAAAGAGGAGGTTTGTTAAGCAAAAGAGAAAGCTTCAGGCAGGGCAGGCAGGGGTCACAAAAAAGGGGGCTGTCAAAGAAGAGGTGGTACCTAGGAGTTTTTGCAAGGGGAGCTTTCCCTGACTGGTTACTGTGTTTGCCGATAAGGTGACCACCTCTGGTGCTGGGAATGGGCCACTCAGAGCAGCTGCCAAAGTCACCTTTTCTGAAGAGATATGCTAATGAGGTGAAACAGGTGCTCAGAGGTCAGAGCCACTAAGAGACTAGAGCCCTTGTGACTGCCTTTGCCCAGGGAGTTGATAGAGTCGCAAACGGGTCTCCAGGGGCCGGGCGTTTGGCTGCTGCAACCTCATCAGGCGATTCTGGGGACTGCATTTTTCTTCCTTGGGACCCCTGTCCCTCTCTGCCAGTCTTATTAAGTACCTGTCTCCTGTGATTCAGGCATTTTGCTCCCATGAATTTAACACAAAGAAGAGTAACAGATGTGGACACAGCATGAGGAGCCCCTCTGTGCAACAGCAGGAGCATGGGAACTGGAGGAGGTGCGAGCTGCCCACGAGGTGCAGTGCCTCAGCGGCACTGGCAGTCACACTTCCTTGGGTGTTTCATGGGGCAGGAAATGGTCATGATGCGTGCAGTAGTGTGAACATAGTAGCAGCCCTTAGGATGTGGCCCAGGTCCGAAGGGCTGTGGTCAGAATGATTTTCACAGTAGCTGAGTTGTCTCTCCCTTCCCCATCTTGTGAGCATGGTACGTGAGACAGTGGCTGGTGTACAGGCCAGGGTCAGGCTGTAATGCCATGCCATTTACAGCTGAAAATGCCTGTGTCAAACCATTAACTAGTTTCCACTTTAATATAATACATATTGCTAGATACAAGCCACAAAATAAATGGTTATTGTTAGGAGTGCCTGAAAATAAAAAGCTGAAGAGCCATTGATATATATAGTAAGTATAAATATTAAATACTAATACATAAGTATAAATATTAAAAAGAGATACAGGGGAATATACACTGGGATTATTTTCTTTGATTCATTCAAGTTGCTTCGTTAATGGGAGGTTGCAGAGGGCTAAGCTGCTGCTGCAACGTTGGCATCCCATGTCAGGGCATCGATTCAAGTCCTGGCTGCTCCACTTCTGATTGAATCCCCTGCTAATGTGCTTGGGAGGCAGTGGAGGATAGCTCAAGTGCTTTGACCCCTGCACCCCTGTGGGAGACCTGGAGGAAGCTCCAGGCTCCTAGCTTTGGATCAGTGCAGCCCTAGTCATTGAGGCCACTGGGGAGTGAACCAGCTGATGGAAGACCTCTCTCTTTGCCTCTATCTAACTCTGCCTTTCAAATCAATCAATCAATCAAAAAACAAAAAAGAGAAACTCAGTACAATTAGAAACAAAGTTTCAGCATTTTTCCCCCAAGGAACTTGACAATTCAAAAAACTCCTTGCAAGAATAAAGAGGCACTGTAGTGTCTGGCATGGCAGCCGGCACCTGTACAAGGCTGCTGAGCACTTGAAATGCAGATAGTCTGAACTGAGATGTATATAACATTTTATATTGAAGGAATGGTATATATTGGATTGAAAGAAACCTGTTATTAAAAAGTAAAGATAAAAAATGATTAAGAATTTTTTTAATTACAGTACAGAACGTTTTTTGTAGTAAATACCAGAGTGTGATAATGTTGTAGAGACAAACAAATATATCAGTTAAAAATAGCCTCACATTAGAACTATAGGGGGCTTGTACCATCAGTGGGTACTGTGATGTGACCACATCACCTAAAGTATCCTGTGTTGGAAAACTAATTCCTCAATGGGGCCAAGTGGGGAGGAAGATCCAGTGAGCGGGGCTGAGCCTGGGTACAGCCCTCCTGTGGGGGTTGATGCCATTCCTGTGGGGGTGGGCTGGCTGCCCAGGGAGTACACCCTCTTTTCCCTCTTCTGCACACACCTGCTCGCCCTTCTTCTTTCCACAAGTTGAAGCAGTACGAGACCCTTGTCAGACAGGGCTGTCCAGTCTTGAACTCACACCCTCCTGAACCCTGAGCAAAATAAAACCCTTTTCTTTAAAAGTGGCACTTCTATGATATTCTGGTATAGCAGCAGAAAGTGGACTAAGGCAATTGGGAAAAGAATCTATCATAGGGGCTCGGTGCTGTGGTGCAGTGGGTTAGCACCCTAGCCTGAAGCACCGGCAACCTAAATGGGCGCTGGTTCTAGTCCTGGCTGCTCCATTTCTGATCCAGCTCTCTGTTATGGCCTGGGATAGCAGTAGAAGATGGCTCAAGTTCTTGGGCCCCTGCACCCACGTGGGAGACCTGGAAGAAGCTCCTGGCTCCTGGCTTCGGATTGACACAGCTCCGGCTGATGCAGCCACCTCGGGAGTGAACCAGCAGATGGAAGACCTCTGTCTCTGTCTCTACCTCTCTCTGTAACTCTGTCTTTCAAATAAATAAAAAATAAATCTTCTTTAAAAAAAGAAACTATCATAAAAGTGATTTAGGGACAGGTGTGTTTCTGAATGGGAAAATAATGTGTTTCTTTCACCAAATACTGATGAATTACAAACCTAAATGTAAAAAACAAAACTTTATAGCAAAAATAAAATATCCAAAAACATTTAAAGAATAAAATTTCTTACATGTGACACACTGTAATGATAATAGAAGCTTTTGATGCATTTAACAACATTACAATTTATTTATTTTTATTTTTTATTTTTTTGACAGGCAGAGTGGACAGTGAGAGAGAGAGACAGAGAGAAAGGTCTTCCTTTGCCGTTGGTTCACCCTCCAATGGCCGCCGCGGCCGGCACGCTGCGGCCGGCGCACCACGCTGATCCAATGGCAGGAGCCAGGAGCCAGGTGCTTTTCCTGGTCTCCCATGGGGTGCAGGGCCCAAGCACCTGGGCCATCCTCCACTGCACTCCCTGGCCACAACAGAGAGCTGGCCTGGAAGAGGGGCA